TATATATATATATATATATATATATATATAAAATTGGGCTGGAAGTCGTCCATCCAATCCAAACTCTGCTCTTAGGAATCATGAGCCATATGAGTCAAAACAGTGAAAAGATCTGAAGTTCTCTGTATTTTGTCCAAGTTCACAGCAACACCATAATCATGAACAACTCCTCAATGGGTTGCGCGTACGAAACGCCTATGCTGGACCAATACCTCCCCCCTGTAATGGTCACAGAGTTCGTATTGAGCCTTATGGGGAATGTCCTCGCCCTCTTAATGTTTTTCTTCCACAGGGACACCTGGAAGCCCAATTCTATTTACCTTGCCCATCTGACTCTAGCGGACTCATTGGTCCTTTTATGCCTTCCTTTTAGGGCTGACTACTACCGCAGGGGCAGGGACTGGGTCTAGACGCTTTCTGCCGTATTTTGCTATTTCTTTTGGCCGCCAACAGAGCTGGTGTTCTGACGATTTGTGCTCCCTGCTCAGATTGTGCTACCTCCCATTAAAAAGATAGGTAGCACAAATCGATAGCGAAAAATGCTACCTATCAGATTGTGCTACCAGCATCTTATTCATGTGGTTTGAGGATTTTTTTTTATGTCCACACCTACCCCTACCTTAAACCTACCCGTCCACACCTACCCTTACCCTAAACTTGCTCTTAAAACAATGCACATATATTTTTGGTAGCACAATCTGATAGGTAGCATGTTTCGTCGGTACACCGGCGGTATATTCTTCCTCACCGCCGTCGCCGTGGACCGATACCTGAAGATCGTCCACCCTCTCAACCACATCAACCGAATGGGTCTGACCTATGCCCTGTTGGTCTCTGTTGCCCTGTGGGGTCTCATCATAGCCATGACTGTCTACCTCCTAACAGATGAACATTTCTGCTATCTAAACAACCACACACAGTGCGAGAGCTTCCACATATGTTTGGGGCACAATGCATTGTCTGACTGGCACAATGCATTCTGCGTTATCCAGTTCTTTGTGCCCACGGCCATTGCTATCTATTGCACGGCTTGTATTACGTGGCAACTGAAAAGTAATACAGTGGACACACAGGGTAAAATCAAGAGTGGTGCAGTTTATATTAGCAGTTGCTCTAGTTTTCATTATATGTTTCTTCCTGAGCAATGTCTCCCGTATCGCCGTCTGGGTGTTGAAGGGCTGGTATAGCGAGTGCCAGTATTTCCGTGATGCAAATGTGGCTTTTTACACGACTGTTTGCTTTACCTACTTCAACAGCGTGCTCAATCCCATCGTCTATTATTTCTTCAGCACTGTGTTCAATGGATCCCTCAAGAAAGTCTACATGCAACTTCTAGGAAAGAAAATGGAGGATGAGAATGATGAGAAGAACCATCGCAGTTCTATTACAGTATCAGCTAATGTATCTTAAAGGGGTCATATGATGCGATTTAAATTTTTCCTTTCTCTTTGGGGTGTTACAAGCTCTTGGTGCATAAAGAAGATCTGTAAAGTTGCAAAGACTTAAGTCTCAAATCCAAAGAGATATTCTTTATAACAGTTAAGTCAACCACACCTACCTAAAACGTCTCGTTCTAACACGCCCCCACATACCTACGTCACTATTTGGGCGGCGTTATGCTACTCTTTTCAACTTTACGGCGTACACTGTAAAAAAAATTCAGTAAAAAATACGGTAGCAACGTTTTAGGTTTTACGGTTTTAACTTAAATTTACAGTCAAATACCGTAATTTCATTAACTGATATAATGTTAATATACCAACCTATTGAAGTACTGAAATCTTTTGTACCTTTGTAATCCACTGATAACTGCCAAATGCAGGTGGTGATGAGAAAGTCACATGATGAACCAAAGCCCATCACAAGCAGCTTTTAAATAATAACATATATAGAAGGTGCACAGTGTCACTCACACAAACACTAAACCCCATCATGGTAACACACATCAAACTGAAATAATGCAATAAACATTCATTTAACAACATTAGGTGTAACACACAACCCTAATATACAAAACTGATAAGAAAAAACTAAGAAGAAACAGTTATTTCAACAAAAAAAACTCACATTTGAAATGTAACGCAGGGAATTCTGAGAATGTCAATTTACGGTTATTCACTGTAAATTATACGGTCTTTTTCACTTCCAAAAACGGTATAATACTGTAAAATTAATGTCCAATAGATGTAATGTCCAATAGAGTTTTTCACCGTATATAGTAGGGGAATTTACCGTTAACCATTTAACACAGGGCTGTCCAAACTCGGTCCTGGAGGGCCGGTGTCCTGCAGAGTTTAGCTCCAACTTGCCTCAACACACCTGATTGGAAATTTCTATGCCTAGTAAGAGCTTGATTAGCTGGTTCAGGTGTGTTTAATTAGGGTTGGAGCTAAACTCTGCACGACACCGGCCCTCCAGGACCGAGTTTGGACAGCCCTGATTTAACAGGTTTTTACTGTAGCATTTTTAGACTTTTACCGTTAAATTCACGGTCATTTTTTACAATTTTATTCTTGCTGTAGTATTGTTGCTGCCGCCATGTCGTGAAGGCGCTGTGTGCGTCGTTGTGAAAGCGAAACTACTTTGTTTGGCCTTCCAAAAGAGGACGATATCGCTTCGTCATGCCTGGAGCTGATCCGTGCTGGTCGCTGAGGAAATACTACAACTTCGCGCTGTGGATCGCCGGATCGGCTTTCACCGTGGACGAAGAGGAGTCCAGCCCGGGGTCGTCATATGTGGTTGCCGCATTTCTGTCACACGCTTGAGGAATTCAGCCAATCACAATGCACTGGATAGCTGGCCAATCAGAGCACACCTCACTTTTTCAGACCGATGAGCTTTGTAAAAATCGATGCGTTTCAGAAAGGCGGGGCATAGAGGAGAAACAATAATGTACAGTATGTGGAAAATAATGTGTTTTTTTAACCTTAAACCGCATAAACACATTTCATTACACCAAATAATGTTCTTTTTAGCAGCATCATATGACCCCTTTAAGTTATATTCACTAGTGTTGATATTATAGTTATACACTTTATAATTCATAATAATGTTTATTCAGATGTAAATGATAGCTGTTGATGTATATTCATGTAAGCATCGATTTGTAACCTTCATAAACATTTAATATGCCCTATATGCATGAATTAGCCTACCTTCACAGAATACTTCACTAATACTTTAATAAATGACTTCAACAGCCCTCTTGCCATGTCTGACTATTTAAATGTAAAAATTAAAATATAGTAACATTAACACTATATGGAAATACTCAATGTTTTAGATATGAACGACAACGTTTTTTGTTTAATTAAACGTGACTATAACGTTTGAATCGGTTGTCGCAGCACTCGCACGTTTGCTGGCTGTGTGTTTGGCGCAGGCGCTCTCCAGGCCCAGCGTTCACTGGAATATTGTGAGTGTGAACTGCCGAGCTTAAAAATATTATCGAGCGGAGGGAATGTCTGGCAGGTCAGTGCGCGCGGAGACCCGGAGCAGAGCCAAAGATGACATCAAACGCGTTATGGCCGCTATTGATAAAGTTCGAAAATGGTAAGATCGCGGGGAAAAGCCCTGTGTTTGTTCCACCGGGAGAAAAAAACGCGCTTGTGGGGGAGGAGAGAGAAAGAACAAACGAGAAGGACAGAGAGTGAAATTATAAGGGTCATTTTTGAGCGCGATTTCCAAGTGAACTCGAGCGCACCCGACACCATACGCTAAAAAATGAATGTTTTGGAGGGATTTCAAAGGTTTCTGATGGAGATGAAGTGGGTTGAACCCAGAAGCCATTTCGTTGCAGTCACATGAAGCCATTTCTCGCTGCAGTTTGGCGCACTGTGATGTGTAACATCTGTGTTTTGGGGGATGAAACGCTTGATAAAGTCACCTGTGCGCGAGAGTCACAGTCGCAGAGAGTTGAAATGCAGCTCAGAGTCTCTTTGCATCAAATAAAGCTGAACACATGGAGCGCTGTGGGGGCTGGGACAGGGAAGTGAGCGACTGACTGCATGCCTGATATTTCATTAACAGCATTAAAGCTGTGGCTTTTAGACAAGGATGTAATCTTTATAGACATTTTACATATGAACTCATTTTTGCATGTATTTATTTTCATTGCATTAGAAAAATAATTTGGAGTGCAAGTATTTGATATTATGAAGCACGACATTTTACCTTGTTTTTCTTGTAGAATAATGTAATAGGTATTTTTTTTATTTTTGGTTCCATCTTTTTTTCATTGGATATGACTTTTTAATGCTGATTTTTTTTTAAGTATCTAATTTTATTAGAATTTTCCAATTTTATTATATATATATATATTACATGGTATGTTATTTTAAAAGTACTGCCATTGCAGAAAAATGTCAGGTTCGTTTAAGTGTATTTTAAGTAAAGACCAAATCAATAATGGCTTATTTGCTTTTTTTAAACTCACTTCTGGTCTTATTGTGCACCTTCCATCAGTGCATATTAATATATTTGGCTTTTTAAATCAGAATTCAAGTTTCTCTTAAAAAATTAGGCCGTGTAAGCTATTGGACAATGCTAACCAGTAACAAATACCTATTTAGGCATTGAAGCACTTCTTTTTGGGCTACAGATCTTTGTTTTAACAATTCACAGGGAGAAAAAATGGGTGACGGTTGGAGACACTTCACTGCGTATCTTCAAATGGGTTCCAGTGACTGAACCAAAGTCAAATGATGTAAGTGTGTGACAATTGTGCATTATTTTCTTTTTGTTAAGTTGTAGTTCATCGATATTCTGTCTTGACATGTTTTCTGCTGAACAGAAGAACAAAAAGAAGAAGGGCAGAGAGGAGAAATATGGATCGGAGGTGACGACTCCAGAGAACAGTTCCTCTCCGGGAATGATGGACATGCATGGTCAGTCTCTTAACCATGCCAAGATTTTAAGTCTGTGCATAATGTAATTTGACAATATTGACTCTTAAATGGCAAGCTGTGGTTTCCCTTGTAGATGAGAACAGTAATCAGAGCTCAATAGCTGATTCCTCTCCGGTGAAGATGGAGAACAGCTGTAGCACGAGCCCGACACCAGAGGCCACTGCTGCTGTTCACACTGATGGAAACAAATGCAAGGCAGAACATACGCCATCCCCTGACAAAGGTACGAAAAGCCACTCTGATCACATGAATAAATGTCATGCTTACACAAATGAAATTCTGGAAGGAATAGCTCGAAGATGAGTTTGTTTCTTCATCAGAACAGATTTGGAGAAATGTAGCATTACATCTCTTGCTCACCAGTGGATCATCTGCAGTGAATGGGTGCCGTCAGAATGAGAGTCCAAACAGCTGATAAAAACATCACAATAATCCTCACCACTCCAGTCCAGCAATTAGCATGTTTGCATATTTCTCTCCTGAATCAGACCAGATTACTTTATCACTGGAGAAAGCAATTTTTATGAATAGAGGATGGAAGCAACGGTTTGAAGTTAAAAATGTCTTAATGATGGATAAATTTCTTACAAGCACACAGCTTTTTGCTTATCAAGATGTTAATTGCTGGACTGGAGTGGTGAGGATTATTGTGATGTTTTTATCAGCTGTTTGGCCTCTCATTCTGACGGCACCCATTCACTGCAGAGGATCCACTGGTGAACAAGTGATGTAATGCTACATTTCTCCAGATCTGTTCAGATGAAGGAACAAACATACAGGTGCATCTCAATAAATTAGAATGTCGTGGAAAAGTTCATTTATTTCAGTAATTCAACTCAAGCTGGAGGACCTTGTGATGGGATCTGTTGACCATCCTTGCGTAAAATTGAGACTATGAGGGCAGCTTTTCAAACTTTGGCCATAAGCGCAGTTATAAAACTTTGAGGTATAAATTTTAGATGAAAGATCAAGACTGAAAATCATTCAATGATGAATAGGTGAAGTGGTTTTATTATGTAATAATTGGATGGTCACACCAGTGACTTACTGAATCTAAATTGTGCCTAGAATTGTCCTTAGGACGTTCGTGAAATGTTTGTTAAATGATTAAATGCTTTTGACAAAAACATGGTAAAAATCAATGTGTAGTCAGAAAGCGCAATATATCCAGACGACAAGAAAAATCTGTTCAATGTTTGTATTGAGTTCAAGTGAATATACAGTACATGAAACAGTACAATAGTTAAAGACTGTCACAATATTTCAGTAGAAACAGAAAGCAAAATTTTCTGATCAAATTCATTTAAACAGAAGGGAAATAATCATGAATAATATACATATTTAATATCTTGTGCACCATGTCATTGCGGGTTACCAATTCTAACACTTGAAGTTTATTAGGTTGCTAAATAAACTTTGTTGTTAATATTACATCAACAATAAGATATACAATATGATCTTAAAAATTGTGCTTTAGTAAAGGTCTGTTCACACCAAGTTTGAGGCGACTAAAATACATGGAATTTTAAAATATTTGAAAACCCTTTTTTGCACCAAAACTATTCTGCACTGTATTTTGTTGCAACATTTTCTTCATCCTCTCAAAAAAAAAGTCTGGATACCTGAAGTAACTGTTCTGTATTTTAAATAAATCTTGAATTTGTGCACAAAAATGGTTTAATCTTAAAATCTTGCCGTGCATTTATTTTGTGCCGAAAATTCAGACTTGGTGTGAATAGGCCTGAAATCTACAGGACATACCATCAAAATACACATAAAAAGCCATTCATATGACAATATTATAACTATATGTCTGACATTTAACAGTAAAAATAATAACTTACTTCCAAACAATAGCAGTTAAACTCATGTGCTGTATACATTTAAAGTGAGAAGTGCAACAAGTTAATAGTGGCTTTAGCTTTTTTTTGGTGCACTCATTGTACTGTTTTGTGTCTGTCATAACAGTCCATTACATGTTCTTTAAACTGAAGTGTGTAAATTTGTTTTATTAAAATAACTTCATTAAAATCTTCTATCCTGGTTTAATATGCAGAGACCACTGTAAGTAAACCATTTGTAGGGCGAATTACTGAAAAGTGCAAATGTGGCTATGTTCGGAATAGCATACTACCATACTACAGTATGTACATTGTGCCTAGTATGTAGAATTTCTGTATGCATAGAATACCTGGGTGAAAATGTGCAGCATACCATCAGATCCCACAATGCAATGTGCTCAACATGAGTCGATTTTGTATGTAACAGACAAGCTGAAATGAAAATCTGCTATGATTTTTAAAAACAATTCTTAGCTTAATTTTAATTGTTGCATAATATGTACCATTTCACATACTATCTAAAAATTGTGGGCAGTATTCAGTGTATACTGACTAGTGTGCAGTATGCATTGTGCTAGTATACCAATCCAAACACAGGCTGCAGCTTTGTGGCACTTTCAAAACATTGCTGTTTCTTTGAGCGTCCTGAAATGTCAACTTCTGACGCAACCAACGGGGTGAGTTTGGGGCGGAGCTACAATGGTAGAGAGAAGGAAACCTGTTTGGAAACAGTCATTCCATTTTGTGCCACTAGAAATTACAGACAGCAGCTTTAAATACACTGCAAAGTATCGCTAAACCGTTCCCAAATTTCTTGCTGGTAATTCATCATTAGATCAATCCACACAGGACAGTGAAAAACGTACGAAACACACAAAACAGTACTGAAAACACAGAGAAATAACTCTCGCCTTCATAACATTCAAATTCCATCAATGCAGCATACTTTAGCCTTCGTTTGGGCAGATTCGTTTAGAGAATGTTCAAGAGGTTCAAATGTATATATATGCTGTGTACAAAAATAGCGTATAATCTGGTCGAAAGCGATCTGTGCATAGCCTGCTCACAGGTCGAGGGGTTGAAGGGAAGTTCAGAAGGTTTGGTCATCGTTGCAAGAGTCTGTCCAGTGACCGAACGCCTCGCAGATGTCGCAGTACGGTCGTTCACCGCTGCGGCTCCCGTGGTACGTGGTGTGCGGAGGCGAGTCTGGGGATTGTGTTTGTGTGGGACAGTCCTCCGTGTCGTGCAGGTCGAAGCAGTCACAGATGTCGCAGAAAACACGTGGTGGGGCTTTCTTCTTCTTGTTGACCTCACCAAGACTTGAGAGAAAGAGGTTTTAAAAAATTGTATTCTTCGTAAACCCTTTGTGAAGAATAACAATAATAGCAACGAAGATGCAAGTAGCGCAATGCTTGTCATGTATGTACAACATGACCATGAGCCAGGGTTATTATAGTTAATAGAAACTAAACAACAAAATAAAATAAAATGTTAACTGAAATAAATATTTAAACAAATTAAAAAAGTGTGACACTTTTAATTTTCATTTAGTTTAACTTTATGTACTAAAACTGAAAAAAAAAAACCGTCAAGATGTCAAAACTCAATTGGACTCACCTATCATGTTCATCATTTCCGTTGAACTCGGTCAATGCCATTTTCTTCAGCTTCACCTTTAGTTCTTCATTCTTCCTCTGGAGGTCCACAATGACGGAGTTCAGGAAGTTGATCTGATTCATGCAGGAAAACATGGCAGAATTTAGAAGTTTACACATATGATCCTAAAACCATTACCAAATATGGAGCAGAAGAGTTTTACCTGTCCCTCAGCAAACTCTTTCTCTTCTCTCAGATGGTCTATAGCAGCATCACCTACAGATGAGACAAATGTTGGAATTGCATATAAGTTAAGGAAGATTTGTTAAAAATTTACGTTTTTTTTTTTTTTAAGATTCATTTTTCATACTGCAAATGGAAATAAAAATAGTAGTACTATTCATATTACTCATACTACTTCCATTTCCAGTGTTACAAATTAATTCAAAGAAAAAGCAACTTTAATATTTTTACATAAAATTGGATTAAAAATAGAAAGAAAGAAAAAAAAATTTATTCTGAGATAATAACTGGATGGCATTCCCTGAATTAATCATGCAAAATCATTGATCAAATAATGACAGGCTTGGCGAGCAGAAGAGACTTTTTCAAAATATTACAAAAACTTAACCCAAACTTTTAAATACGTCAAGATGTCAAAACTCAATTGGACTCACCTATCATGTTCATCATTTCCGTTGAACTCGGTCAATGCCATTTTCTTCAGCTTCACCTTTAGTTCTTCATTCTTCCTCTGGAGGTCCACAATGACGGAGTTCAGGAAGTTGATCTGATTCATGCAGGAAAACATGGCAGAATTTAGAAGTTTACACATATGATCCTAAAACCATTACCAAATATGGAGCAGAAGAGTTTTACCTGTCCCTCAGCAAACTCTTTCTCTTCTCTCAGATGGTCTATAGCAGCATCACCTACAGATGAGACAAATGTTGGAATTGCATATAAGTTAAGGAAGATTTGTTAAAAATTTACGTTTTTTTTTTTTTTAAGATTCATTTTTCATACTGCAAATGGAAATAAAAATAGTAGTACTATTCATATTACTCATACTACTTCCATTTCCAGTGTTACAAATTAATTCAAAGAAAAAGCAACTTTAATATTTTTACATAAAATTGGATTAAAAATAGAAAGAAAGAAAAAAAAATTTATTCTGAGATAATAACTGGATGGCATTCCCTGAATTAATCATGCAAAATCATTGATCAAATAATGACAGGCTTGGCGAGCAGAAGAGACTTTTTCAAAATATTACAAAAACTTAACCCAAACTTTTAAATAATAGTGTGAATTAAAGTAGCTGGCAATATACAGTATATCGCACAGAATGCAACATGCTGTCATTCCATTCCAAATATAAATACGCTGACAGACCTGAAGTGACTTCCTCTCTGTTCCCCGTCTGCCGGCCCTCCAGCTTTTGCTCCAGGCTGTTCACTCGGCTCTGCAGCTGGGCTTTGTCCCTCTCCAGAGACGTCACGGCCGACTGGAGCGTCTTGGCCATGGCATTTTCCACACGAAGCACTGCAATCTGAAATGACAAATTATTTTTTCCATTATCTGACAATATTAAGTGCCAATAACATGGAGTACAAAGTTTTATATAAAAAGAAAAAAATAGGAATAACTGCTGTAGACAACAGAGTTTTCATATGAAATTAATCTACATTCTTTTTACTTAAGACAAATGTTGTCATAGTCCATAATGCATAAAACATACTTTTGAAGAATGATTCAGAAGTTTAGATAGACTTTTGAAACCCAAGAGTCAAAGTTCTTACCTCATTGCGTAGTGTCTCTAGTTCTTCGTCTTTATCGCACATCATTGCATTGGAGTTCTCCCTGTGAGGACAGAAGAGCTCACTCTAGCTGGTTGGATTTAAAGTCATGTTACAAAAGCCATATGCACTCTGAGAACATGCATAATACCATCTCTCAGTGGAGCTCCAAAGATTAAAAGCTTACAGAAAAACATGACATCCAGTGGGACTGCAGTGTTTTTAGGGTGGAGGAAAACAATAGATCTGAAGTCAAAAGCTTTTTTATTTAACTAAACAGCAGTCATGGAAACAGATCATCTCTCTAGATGTGGTAATCTTGGTGCATCATAAAACACTGATCTGTAAAGAACGTGTACTGACAAGCTTTTTTGAAAGCCTTCATTTCCCATGAGATGAAATGACATTTAAAGCCTCCAGAGTGCATGTGATCTCAAATCCAGCTCTCATTTGAACAATTACTAAGACAGAGCTCCATTATCACCATCAAAAGTGTCTGTGACATGCTGTTTCTAACCACAAGTAATAAATTCGGTTTTTGAAAGCTTGTGACGAAATTTAAATGAAGAGTTCATCCAAAAATTAACATTTGCTGACAATGTATTCACCCTCAGGTCATCCAAGATGTAGATGAGTTTGTTTCTTCATTGTAACAGATTTGGAGAAGTTTAGCATTACAGCACTGGATCCTCTATAGTGAATGGGAGAAGACAACAGGAGAGGGACTTTTTCACTGGAGGAAGCGTTTATGGATTATGGAATATTTTGGCCAGAAGCAAACACCTTAATGTTGGAATTGTTTATTGCAATCATGCCGCTTTTCACTTCACAAGACATTAACTGATGGACTGGAGTGGTGTGGATTACTTGTGGATTATTGTGATGTTTTTATCAGCTGTTTGGACCCTCACGGCACCCATTCACTGCAGAGGTGAGCAAGTGATGTAATGCTAAATTTCTTCAAATCTGTTCTGATGAATAAACAAACACCTACAGGGGCAGTTGTGGCCTAATGGTTAGAGAGTTGGAATTGTAACCCGAAGGTCACGGATTTGAGTCTTGGTACCGGCAGGGGAGTACTATGGGGAGTGAATGACTGGCGCTCTCTTCCACCTTCAATAACCACGACTGAGGTGAGACCCTTGAGCAAGGCATCGAACCCCTAACTACTGCCCGGGCACCACAGCAAAAATGGCTGCTCACTGCTCCGGGTGTGTGTTCACGGTGTGTGTGTGTGTGTGCACTTGGATGGGTTAAATGCAGAGCACAAATTCGGAGTATGGGACGCCATACTTGGCCACACGTCACTTTACATCTTGGATGGCCTGAGGGTGAGTAAGCTTTACATTTTTGCTTTTAAACCAACTTTTGCCATAGGCAGCCACTTCAAGATTTCTGTCTTGATTTGATTGAATGAACTTAATACTGAGTCAAAGACAAGCGCTTACCTCTCTGTAATCTCCAGCTGGCTAGTCAGAGATTCACTGCCAAGCTGCCAAAAAAAAACATGATACGTGATAACTCAATCCCTCAAATTGACGGAGAATGTCACAGGGCAACACATTTCAGAAGAGCTGACAGGAAACGTCTAAGGAAAGACACAGACAGATAAACACCTTCTGCTGCGCGTGGATGTCCAGCTCCTGGGCTAATGTCAATTTCTCGACCTGGAGCAACACCTGCCTCTGAGACTTCTGATTGGCTGACAGTTTTAGCTGTGTTCCGAAGATGAACGAAGGTCTTACGGGTTTGGAACAACATGAGAGAGTGCAATTAATGACAGAATTTTCATTTTTGGGTGAACTATCCCTTTAAATATGAAAAGTGAAAAAGCATTGATGTCCTCAGCGAGTGTTACCAAACCCTCTCATTTTTTAAAAACACTTTCATATTGAGGCACTCTTCACCATCCAATCAATTACTGACGGTCAAATCAGGTTCTGCCCTACATTTTTTCTTATTGATTATCGTGAATGGGAAATGCAGCAAGCCAGATTCAAACTCTTATTGCATGCGAGCACAACCGCTCAATGTGTCAGACCGTGCATTGTTATTCAGAAATTGAGCTAAATGTTTCTGCTTAAATGCTCAAAATTAATTTTGCAAACATTAAAAACATTTTAAAATAAATAATTAAATCGCTAAATAAATGTGAAAAGTAAAAATTATGAAATCTTTTTAATTGCAATTTTTGGAATTTATTTATTTTTAAGTATTTTTTCAGCGGGTGTCACCAAACCCTCTTATTTTTCAAAAAATTCATCCAGTCAATTCCTGATGTATAAAATCAGGTTCTGCCCTACATTTTTTTCTTATTGATTATCCTGAATGTAAAATGCTGCGAGCCACGAGCACAGCAGCTTAATATTTCAGAATATGCACATTACGCCTGTTGTTATTCAGAAATAAAAGCTGTTGTGACCATGTGGACATGTGATGTCATTCTGTGACTCACAGATCTAATTATACCACCACAATGACGCCAACATGGTACTTAACCAATTAATTAAGATCAAAATCCTTTATAGCGCCAACAAAGCAGACAATTAATGTGATAAGATGCAGTTGAAAGACGTTAAATGGCGCTTATTTGTTGCAGCTGTTGTTCAGTGGTCAGCAAACGTGAACTAATACATTTGAGGCTGGATCATGTCATTTCCTCTCCTGCCAATTATTTCCAGTCCTCTCACTACTATCACTATCGAAAGATATGGAATATGAAAGAGTGCAAATGCATGGGTGCACGTCAGCGGGAGACTCACATTTCTTTGCTGAGGCTGTCGATGTTCTGTGTTTCTGAACTCAACTGTTCCTGATACTGAGAGTTCTGCTGCTTCAGGGTCTCAAGCTGGTGGACGAAATAAAAGACAAATAAATCAAGTGAAAGAAGGAGGTTTAGAAAAACATTACATGGTTTTGGACGAAATGTATTGGGGTGAATGTCATGTGACCTTTCAACAACATGTATTTTGCATAAAGAAAATCACACATATTTAAGGACAATCGTGTCTTTTTTCATCAAAAATATCTTAATTTGTGTTCCGAAGATGACTTACGGGTTTGGAACAACATGAGAGAGTACAATTAATGACAGAATTTTCATTTTTGGGTGAACTATCCCTTTAAATATGAAAAGTGAAAAAGCATTGATGTCCTCAGCGAGTGTTACCAAACCCTCTCATTTTTTAAAAACACTTTCATATTGAGGCACTCTTCACCATCCAATCAATTACTGACGGTCAAATCAGGTTCTGCCCTACATTTTTTCTTATTGATTATCGTGAATGGGAAATGCAGCAAGCCAGATTCAAACTCTTATTGCATGCGAGCACAACCGCTCAATGTGTCAGACCGTGCATTGTTATTCAGAAATTGAGCTAAATGTTTCTGCTTAAATGCTCAAAATTAATTTTGCAAACATTAAAAACATTTTAAAATAAATAATTAAATCGCTAAATAAATGTGAAAAGTAAAAATTATGAAATCTTTTTAATTGCAATTTTTGGAATTTATTTATTTTTAAGTATTTTTTCAGCGGGTGTCACCAAACCCTCTTATTTTTCAAAAAATTCATCCAGTCAATTCCTGATGTATAAAATCAGGTTCTGCCCTACATTTTTTTCTTATTGATTATCCTGAATGTAAAATGCTGCGAGCCACGAGCACAGCAGCTTAATATTTCAGAATATGCACATTACGCCTGTTGTTATTCAGAAATAAAAGCTGTTGTGACCATGTGGACATGTGATGTCATTCTGTGACTCACAGATCTAATTATACCACCACAATGACGCCAACATGGTACTTAACCAATTAATTAAGATCAAAATCCTTTATAGCGCCAACAAAGCAGACAATTAATGTGATAAGATGCAGTTGAAAGACGTTAAATGGCGCTTATTTGTTGCAGCTGTTGTTCAGTGGTCAGCAAACGTGAACTAATACATTTGAGGCTGGATCATGTCATTTCCTCTCCTGCCAATTATTTCCAGTCCTCTCACTACTATCACTATCGATGGAAGTGTCAAAAAGTCCTGAATAAATAATGAAAGATTGCATATGCATGGGTGCACGTCAGCGGGAGACTCACATTTCTTTGCGGAGGCTGTCGATGTTCTGTGTTTCTGAACTCAACTGTTCCTGATACTGAGAGTTCTGCTGCTTCAGGGTCTCAAGCTGGTGGACGAAATAAAAGACAAATAAATCAAGTGAAAGAAGGAGGTTTAGAAAAACATTACATGGTTTTGGACGAAATGTATTGGGGTGAATGTCATGTGACCTTTCAACAACATGTATTTTGCATAAAGAAAATCACACATATTTAAGGACAATCGTGTCTTTTTGTGCGTTCTTAAATTATTTTAATGATAAATAAAGCACACTTTGCTTCAAATTCTTATCATTACCCTAAAAAAAATCTAGTTTTCATAACTGCAAAGTGAAAAAAATATAATCTGTAAAAATGTTATTCATTTATAATATTATTAAATAATATTTATGCTCATTTACGCAAAATATCTTTATTACAGTATTTTTTTTAAATGCAAGTAAAATATCCAAACAAACAAACAATAAATAAATATGAATATTAGATTAAAAACTTACATGAAAAGTAGAAATTTACTAATTGGAATAAAATGTTTAATTTGAAGTACTAAAATTACTTAATAAAATAATTAGCAAATTAATAAAAATTAAAGCCAAATAGAAACAATTGAAAAAAATAAACATTACAACCCTCTACGGACACCTTGGCAATTAAATGTATAATGTTTGTTTATATATATATATATATATATATATATATATATTTTAATAATAACAATACTTTCGGATTCTACTAATAAGAACAATATCAAATGCACTAAGGATTAATGAGCTGCTGGATTCATGAATATTAATCAGGCTGTGTGTTCGCTCTAATTGATTTGCTAAAATCAAAACAGGGACGCTACTAGGTGAGCGTCAGCCAATGAGATTGCCGTTTGCGCATTAGTTCCGCCCACTACTGGAGAACCCGGCAGTTCTTAAAAGCTGAAGAATTCCAAAGGAACTCCGTTATTTTGACAGGAAAATACAACAAAGTATATAGTTTACATGTAGCGCGTCAATTCTGCATGTTATGCAAGACTCTCTCACTCTCTCTCTTTCCGTGTGTGTGTGAGTCTGAGACAAAGCGACGGCGAGTTGTGCGCCTTCACACACACTAGAGTTTACGGTACGTCAAATACAGGTGCGCTGCGCATCCATTCAGATGAACTGAAAAATAGCACAGACCGCTTGACTGAGACTGAAACTCTGCAGCGCTCAGTCAGTGTGTTCGACGAGCAAAAATATATCTGTGCTAAACTTATACTCAGCCTCCAACTCACACACTGGCGAGTAAAATCTGAGAATTTATTAGCAATTGGCTAATATTAGACATACTTTAGTCGCCCAGAGTGAAGATTTAGTCGCATATGCGAGTGATTTCCTCGCAATGTAGAGGGTTGCATTACAAAAGCACAAAGTTACTAAAACTTAAATTAAAATAAATACACAAATAAAAAAAATTATTAAATATGAACAAATATTATAATAACACTGGGGAAAGCATTAAATTGTCATGATAATAATAATAATAATGTGATTATGCACAAAGGTGTCCTGGGTGTTTTTTAACTTTCAAAAATTGTAAAATCAGACACATCTGCTCAACTAGACACACACTGAAGTACTAATAGTTTCTGTAAAAAATTGTATAATTGCAAGTTACATGCTAAACTTTAAGTGTTAGAGATTGGAACAAATACTTAAACCTAAGCATGAGTAACAATATTATTGATGCTTGCTTTAGCAAACACCTAAAAAAACTTTTTAAAAAACTGTCTGCAATCAATGAGAGCTTGAGAAGATGAATCACATTTAGGAGTAACGCATGCACAACAACAATTTAGAAAAAGCATGTCAGATCATCACATCTGGTGAAGTCAGATTACTGTTCCCACGAGACCCATGGCTCACTGTAACATCAGACTGAAGCATTAATTACACTCTTCAGCACAAACGCCCACAACTGGCCAAGTCCATAATTAATATCATCTACATGCCAAGAACCAACATCAATGTTTTATTATGAATCAGCAGAGATTCGCCTGCACTGATATCTCTGAGTGATTCACATGATTCACTTTCATTCAGAAAGCCTGAGAGAATCCGTGATGGAGGAATTATACTGTCATCAATGAATGAAATGTCATCAAACAGCCATTTCATTCAGACTCAGACATGTGAAAGCATTCTTCAGGTCAAAGTCCACAGCTTAACATCTCCATTACTCAAATAAATAACATACAAAAGAGATAGCGACACAAAGTATTTTCTTTCCTTTTATGCATAAAAAAATCTCAAAAATCATAGAGAGACAAAAACAAACAAATACATACATAGCTGAAAATTATTTTTATGCTCATCACCAACATCCAACATTATGGACAATATCAGGGAAAATGCCACCAAAATTCAAAATGTGGGGAAAAACTACCCTGTTAAAATTATTATTTTTTAAATTTGTAACATCAGACATTTCTTCTCAAATTTTTTTTATAAGCCTAACAAATTATTGTAATTATTCAGATGGAGAATTTAATTGAATGCATTGATTAAATTAAAGTATCTGAGGTGTTTTATGGTTAGAAAATCATAAACGTAACGTAGTAACTCCTGAAAATAAATATTTACATAGTGTACAGTACTTCCACATAATGGTAGTATTTTGTTGTTTGCTCCTACAAATAAACTCTAGTGATTCAATATTTTAACTTAATACTTAAGTTAATTTCTGACACTGGCCAAAATTCAAAATCAATACATTGGGAGAAAAACAACAACAACAACAACAACAAACAGTGCTCACATTAAACCTCCAATCTAGAATTATACACGCTTCAAATGTAATCAGGCACCAAAGTATGCATGATATAAAATTAATTTAAATGAGGGAAAAAAATAAGCCCTTATATTATCCAGTTTCAATATCATCCTAACCCAATTCCAATATTTAAAAAAAATTATAATATTCCTGAATACTAACATGGTTACCGATATACAGTATCATGCATCCCTACAAAGTGCACTATTTACCTGGCACAGAGCGCTATAAACGCTGCCTGTGTAGTTCTGTTGGAGCGCTGTCACATCCATGCTGCTGTCTCTTTCCTGTTTTTTCCAAACACATGTGCCCTATCAATAAAACATCCCCCTACGGCCCCCTGCAGCGAGAGAGAGGCACGAGCTCTCGCTCTGCTGGCATTCCGGCACACGCTCACGTTTGCGCAAACACACGCTCTGAAAAGCGTCAAATAGGGCAGCTTCATTATGTAAACACGACAAGCCCCGCCCCTCTCGACATCCCCCTCCTCTCCGTCATCTGCCTGTTCTCATTCATCCTGAATTAGTTGTTTCTACATGATGACATGTTTATCTCTTGTGACATTAGAGACATGGAAATCCTTGCATGAGCAAAGCCTCTATATCCTGTTTATGTTATGAATAAATATATATAATAAATATAAATATAATATAAACATATTAGAATGATTTCTGAAGGATCGTGTGACACTGTAGACTGCAGTAATGATGTTGAAAATTCAGCTTTCCATCACAGGAATAAATAATATTTTAAAATATATTCAAATAGGAAACAGGTATTTCAAATTGTAATAATATTTCACAATATTTTTGTTTGTACTGTATTTTTGATCAAATTAACGCAGCCTTGGTGAACATACGCATGAAAACCACTTACACAGTCTCAAACAGCAGCACAGGATAAGCAAGAGACTTCAATCCCTGAATGACACAAAAAAAGAATGAAATTCAGGCTAACCTAAATTAACTCTGCTTTTTTCAACCTTAAGGGGACAAAAGTCCAAAATGAGGTCACAATAAGGTAGTCTTTTTCAAGACAGAAACCAAAATACATTAAAACGGACAGTTCATCCAAAAAAATTAATTCTATCATAATTTACTCACACTCATGTTGTTTCAAACCATCTTTTAAAAAATGTTCACGCTCCTCGTTTTCATATAACATCAGCTCATAGTGACAAAGTTGTAGTCCATATGACTTGTGTGCTAAAATCTGAAGTAATTTGATATCTTGGTGTGAGAAACGGAGCAAAATGTATGTAAATCACCACTGTTGTGAAACACAAAGTTATTATATGGATCATCTCAGTTACGTATGTAACCCTCGTTCCCTGAAGGATGGAACGGAGACATCACGTCGGTAACCGACGAATTGGGATCTCGTTTAGAGAGACCAATCCACTTCGAGTGTAAACTAAACGAGCCAATGCACATTGGCATGCGATGATTGCATCCAACTGCCACTGATCAAAGTGTGAGCATAAAAAGGCAGCCGGTGCAACGCATACTAGGTTTTCGCGGAGGAGCCGAGCCGGTGGTACAGCAGCCGTGGCGACGGGACGTCTCCATTTCCTCCTTCAGGGAACGAGGGTTACATACGTAATCGAGACGTTCCCTTTCAGTTGGTCACGCCGAGTCACGTCAGTGACTGACGAATTGGGATCCCTACCAAAGCGCCATGGATGCTGCCCCTTCCAGTGTCCTGTGCAAGCTGCCTGCGCCCCTTTGTGGTGTAGGCCGGGGCTCACAACAAGAAGACCAGTCACTGTTGTCATAGCACTACCTACTCAGTGAGATTGGATAACACTGGGAAAACGTACCCGTTCCACTTGGAACAGGAACGTTGCGGAAGCCCCATCCTTCCCGAAGGAAGTTTCGGAAGCACTTACACATATGAACATCCGTTTAGGTGCATATGGAAGATTAGAGGTGATAACCCTCTAACCCTCATGGAAATGCCAGAAGTCTGCTGGGGAAACACGGGCTCTGAGGCTATACCGTGGACTTTACACATATGGAACCCAGCCCTCTACACCGGTTCTCACGGATTCAGCGAGTGAGGGCCTGGCGCCGGACATTCTGCTACGTCTGGCTGCCGAGGGGATGGAGAAGCTCGACAGGGCCTACAGTACGGACACTCTGGAGCAGTTTTAGCAAGCTGACACTAAACCGGGGCCTCTCAGCGCCTCTACCCGTTTGAGGTGAGAACACAGGAGGATAACGGCTCCACACGAAGGCTATAGAATTTAGCGAACGTGTTGGTGGTC